AAATTTTACTAATATAGGAACGTAAATGGGGTACATAAGAAATTATAGAATATCACACCTCGTATAATTTGCACAAAAAAATTAGAAATATCGATTAAAAGATTTTACACTTATTTTATAATTTTTTTATAAAAAGAGATAAAATCAATTCTTTGCTAATTTTTTTTATATACTAATTTTTCACAAAAGTCAAAGAAACATTATCTCATATTAGTGTGGTAATCTGTCATTAAAGATAAGACAGGAGGAAATGAGTAAAATTTCAGAGTATTACGTGCACGTGAAAAGCTGATGGACGCGTGCGATGTGCAAGGCCGAAATGTGCATCACGTGCAGAGGAACGCATTGCAGCGACGGCGAGAGAGCGTAGATATTACCGAGGTTACGAAAGTACACCGTAATGAATGCCAACAAGTCGGGAAATATTGTCCCGTTCTTCTCTTTAATACGGAGAGAAACGATGGCTGCCGGGTTTGCTCTCTTAATTTGTTTGTGGAACCCACACTCTCTTCCACCCTGCGGCGCTCTCTTCCGGCTGCCTACTTGACGAATCTCACTTAAAAACGCGTTTGTACACGGAGGACTAGAGCTTTATGCAACGCGTAGCTTGCCGAGTTAAAAAAAGGAAGTAAAACAATAATAAATAAACGAGAAATCGCGCTTGGACCGAGTGATCGCTATAAAACATTACGATCAGTTATCCTCCGCGCAATAAATTATTCCTCGTTAAGAAATCGATGTTACTCCCCCCGGGGCGATAATTAACGACATAAAGGCAATTATTATCGGGGGAATAGCGGTTAATGATAAATCATTCTCCTGCGTTCCAATCTCGCAGATGCCGCTTGCGACCTCGAATCGAAGGATTAATCTCGTAACAATCGCGCGAGATTTGTTAAAGAGGTTGTAAGGCAAATGCAATATGTTAAGAATTACTTGAAAAAATTAATTTAGATTATTCTAAATTGCATTTAAAAGTAATACAAAAAAAAATTGAAGTTTGCCATCTGGATCAAAAGTTATTTCAATCAAAAGTAATATTTTTTTAATTTATACTCTAATAGAAGATGTATGAAAATGTATTATAAAATAATGATAAAAAAAATCTCAATTTTTTTTTTATATAAGTACTTTATAAGTTCAAAAATATTTGTGTAAAGTTTCATTGAGATGCAGACATTAATTTGTTCAGTAAATAAACAAAATATTTATTTGTTGTAAACTAATTGGTGAATCTTAATGAAACTTTGCATAAGTCATTTTTAGTGTTTATTTTAAGTTCTACTTAAAATATATTTGTATTGAAAAATTTAGATTTTTGTTATTATTTCTGTTTTAAAATTTTTGTTTATAACAATAAAACTAATATCAAATAAAATAAATAATCTATACAAATGTGTTGCTCAAATAAAAACAGAATGTTGTGAACACAACTTTCACATGTATGTAGTTTGTTTAAATATTAGCGTGTTTTACGCTCTTACACAACTTGCTTAACAGCGCCTGCGCACCGTAGAGATTTCTTGGCAGATCCCATCGTTTTATCGTACACCCGGTAAAATTAAATCGTCGACGATAAATCTCGTCTGTGAGATTAAAGTGCGTACAAAATGGCGCGCTAATGCATTGTTTCGAGCGTGCGCATTTTTAATTCGATTTTCTATAGGTAATAGGTTTTAATAGGTAGGAGGTAATGGGTTTTTCTCATTACGCGTGATTTGCAGAGAGTCTCATTGGACGACTTGAAGTAAACGTGTTCTTGCTTTGACAAGTGAATTTAACTTTCCATGCCTCGAATTTGATGAAACTCGATGTATTGTATTTGTAGAGCAGTCAAAAATAATATTATAATAGACACACTTTTATGTCGGCAATGATGCAGGTTTAAAGACATAAACTACCACTTGTAGTGATGAGCATGAGTACTTAATTTTTCTTGAATTTTATGGCAATTAGCTCACGGAATTTGCACACTTTATTATTGCATAATGCGCAGATAGTTTCTAAATTTTTAAAACAATAATTTATATATTGGATTACCAAAGTTTTTCTTGTAAATAATCACTTTTTTGTAACACAAATTCAATAAATTTATAAATCTGATAGATAAAAAAATATAAACGTCTATATATGTATCTCACGATACACAATATTTAAACAATTTTTAAATTATTCAATGTCGAAACCTTCTCCCAATATTCTATAATATACGTTATAGATAGAATATTGGGAGAAGCTTTCGAAATTTAATTTAGGAATTATTCGCGATATTCTATAATATATTCGTTGCTCGCAATATTATATTATATTATATTATACAATGAAGAATCATTTCCGGTTTTACTTGCGGAAATGTGTTGTTAGAAAAAGCACGATTAAAAACGGAGTATTAAAAACGGAGTATTAAAAACGGAGTTATCTACTCTCGGAGAGAGTTCTCACCCGCCTTCTGACATATATATATAAATGCAGTTTGCACAGTTTACAGCGTGTGCGGAAACGGAGTCCGTGTAAACATTGCAAGTAATACGCAGAGAGAGAGAGGGACCGTACAGACATAATTTTACCTTCATAAGTTTACCTATGGCAGGAACCCGCGTATCTACGAGCCGCGATGGGCGGAGGAGACAATATAGACCGTAATGCTCGACGAGAGCGGTAAAAAGTGCACCTTTAGCTTCATCGAAACGAAATAAAAGGCAACCGCGAGTTCCACGTATGAGAGTACGAGCCGTACGTGTACGTCGCGCTGGAAATGCAATATCGAAGCATCGTTGAGCGGGCCACCAGCCTCGGAAAGAAAAAACAACGGGAAAACGTATCGAGACATCGATAACGGAAACGACGAGCGAGGAACAAAATGGATAGACCGAATGGAACGGGACGTCCTCGACGGCAAAATTTAATTTAAGAGCCGCTCGCAAAAATCACGTATTTCCGAATTTTATAACTCTGTCAAACAGAGAGAGAGAGAGAGAGAGA